TCATGATTAATGACTTATATAGTCCAACCCACGCACACACATATATATGCTACGTGTGTGTGGGTTTCATTACTGTTCATTGCAACACATTTTTGTTTCAGTCAGTATTCATTTGGTTGATCAAAGTACCAATCAAATTAAAAATTTCTTTTCCTATTTCTATATTGTAGTTTTCTTAGAAGTAATAAATAATTTGATATATTCTCACGGTCCCGTCTTATAAAACACATTGAATTAGCGTTGTCCAATGGGAAATTGATTTGATGAGAAATTTTTTTTATAGTATTAAGCAAACTAAATCAATTTCACCTCTATATATTATTACCACACTTCTGCATTTAAGTATATAATTGTAGAAGAACAACTTATTTATGAAATGCATTGTTATGTTTGTGCTCAATTTTCGAGATGACATTTCTATTGATGAAACTTTTAAATCTTTCTGCTATTCTTTGAGGATACCCAGTTACTGCAATTATTTGGCATACATTATAAGAAGCTTTAACTATAGTAGACAAAAACCCCGGAGAAAAGCACAAATTCTGAGAGTTCTTGCTATTTTTGAGTTTTTTAAATTTTATTTATAAAGAAATCTATTAGCTTGTTAGTGCAGGTTGGATGGTTCAGTTCTGAGTGGCACTCTTTTGATAGGACAATGCATAAGATAACACACAATTTGATCATTTATTTTACAGAACTGCTCGTTGCAATTGGCTCGTTGCTGACCGAGCTGCGCTGTTCGCTTCCTTGTTACCCATGATATGATACCTTTTCAGCTTGGTATCCAGCTGAATTTGTATAAAAACCTTTTCCGACTCATGATGTCTAATATATCATGCGCAGGGACATTATTTTTAAGGGGACAGCGACTAAATTAAACGTTATGGACTTCCAAGAAAACCAGGGAGTTTTTTTTTTCTAAAAGGACTAGGAACTGCTTAGAGATAAGTGCTTAGAAATAAGCAGGCACATAAGTAGCCGAAAAAATAGAGTTGATACAGAATATGTAATTTATTAGTATGCTTTTTTAAAAAGCTGCAGTACTTGTTGAATATCCTATAATTGTTGGAGCTCTAGTTCGTGTGTCACAGTCATCATCATTTGATCGAAATTCAGAATTAAGACCCATCACACCAATAGAGCCCTAATGTAGCTTCAAAAGGCAAATTGAAAATAAAATAATGTAATAATAAGAATATTAACTATACAGGAAGAAACAAATTACCCCTCTGCCTGGGGGTACCATCTCTTCATCAATACGACTTAGATTTTTGGGAGGAAATGATTGATCGCCCAAGTTAGCCATAATACATCCAATTTATTATTGTCTAAATATATTGAACAACATAAATCTTTCTATAGGAAGGCAATCGGGAGTGATATAACGTATTCCTAAATTCTAAGTAAATAGGCGCCTGGAATCCTAATCACTTATCTTTAAGCAAAGTTATCCTGTGAATCTTTATCTTCCTTAATTTCTTTAACTCACCTAAAAAAACCCTTTCTATACTTACACTTCTAAGTTTAATGTCTTACCGTCAGCTCACGACGTTCAGCATCTCAGCTTCCTTTCTCCTTCTTCCTCGCGATTACAGAACCTGCACTATATATCTACTAACTGATCTGAATATTACGGTTTATTCTTAGAGGATTAATTGGCTGTGAATTAACTCAATGCTGGAACCAAAGATTTCCCAAGAGGATTAATAGGAAAAACGTGGTAAAGCCCCGTCACACCGTAAAGAAATTTTGGAACCCGCTTATTTAAAACTTTGAATCTGCTGCGTCTTAATCTGCAACAACTGGTTGAGATGGAGAGTTTTATTAACGTTGTAGTTATAACGCAATACGAAGGCTAGTATCGACGGATCTTGTAATTTTGAGCCTCGGTCAAGTGACGAGAACGACACTTGCGTTGATACATCCCTCTCCTAGCTACCACACCACGTCAGAGGGAGGACATTGAGCCTCGACAGATTTAACGGGCAACGGCTCCCTCTACATGGTGGATACTCAGTGGATCCTGGACACAAACGCCATCCACGAATTCGAGGCCATAATCTCTAGGCTACCGAGGACCTTACAACTGGTTGAGGAAACTTTGTTCTTCAATTTGGATTTTCAACTTTTCCATCTTGTTCATTAAAGTCACTTGAAAGAAAGAGGATATGCTAAAACAGAATAAACAGTTTCATAAAAACACACACAAGTAATGTAAAAAAAAATTAAGTCAATTCCTACTTAGATAAAAATTTTATGTTAGCTACTTTTTATTAAATAGTTACAATTAAAATAAGTATGAATATATAGATATGACAGAATCACAACATTGAGTGGTAATTAGTTTTTATTAATTATCATTAAAGTATCGTATCGTCATCCAAACAATCGTATATATAGCATTTCAGTTCAACTGTGAATGCTTTAAAACTCGAGAAAAAAATCTTTTCAAGTTTTGACACAAGTCGCCAAAAGGATCGCTAAGTCACCAAAAACGATGCCAATATGGCTGTATTTGTATTTTTCTTAAATAATTAGTTTTAATCAATTAAGTTTTTATATATAATTAAATTATTATATTATCATCCAGAATAATCATGTATAGAAAATTTCAGCTCAGTTGAGTGCTTTAAAATGTATTTTATTAACGATTGAAAATTCCACGAAGATAAATAAATAAATGCATAGAAAGTGTGTGAGCTAATAGTAGGAATTGAAAAAGAATCATTTTGCGTAACAAATGTATGTATATATATATATATATATATATATATATATATATATATATATATATATATATATATATTTCAGTTAAAATATTAATTCCTAAATATTTGATAATATAAAATACATTATACATTGATTTGTGTGGATAAAGAAATATTTTTTACATTCATCGCGAAGATTTGACGAATTGCCAACTATTGTAGAAATGATAAAATGAAGAAGAAATGTATGGTTCCAGATTAACAATACTATGCTTTCTATCTTATATTGAGAGTATAATGACAAATGTTTATCTATATTGCTACATGTCGGTCATTAAGCTCCAATGGATTCTCAGCCATCTTGTTGAGCACCACTTTCATGTAGGTAATGAAGAGGATCACTTTTCGGTTTTTGGGGTTTGGTTTATTTGACACATAGACAGTATAAATAAACCGGCATCAAAGCATAAGATACAAATGATTATATAAACAAAAACATGAAACAGGATGGCATATAGTAGTGGATTATTACTTAAAACGCCTTTAAATGATTGCGTGTTATTAAACTCTTCACAGAGTGACATTTAAGTTAAAATTTCAATGGACGGTTACAACTGCATTTAAAACAAGTAGTATAAAGAAACAAGTCAATTCTTACTTAGGTCAACAAAGAAAATTTTGATTTAAGTTACTTTTTATTAAATAGTTACAATTAATATAAATATGTATATTCTATACTGTTCGAATTAAATGGGACAGCGAAAGCATGATTTTTTCCAAGACCCTTATCTTTTAAATATAACATTCACTAAGTAGACTGAAAAGTCTCTATAACAGTATGAAGTATGTCTTTCTCTAGTAGAAATGACCCTTTTCCACACATCTCGGCATTGATTCCACTAGTGTAGCGCACATGTTCTTGATTTCATCATTGCGAGACCACACTTATATAACACGTTTTATAATTTGTTCTGTGTTTTGTCATGCAATTAAAAACTTAACTAAATGATTCTTGAAAATATATACCTTAAGTTGCCAATAGGATTAAGTTCTGGTGAATTACAAGGCAAATAAAGCAATTTTATTTTATTTTCCGGCCTAAAAGTTTGAAATAACTTCTAAGTGTGACATGGGGCCGAGCCATGTTGAAATATTCCGTCTAACGCTTCCATGAATGGAACAATCTACTGCGTAACATTTCTATATATGTGTTTGGCAGAATTCATCATATCTTTAAGCTGTACTAAGCTTCCAGTGTCATTTGTTGAGAAAAAATTCCAAAACATCTCTTTAGAATGGTGTTATACAGTCTACTGGATATTATCTGGTAGCAGAGTTTCACTATAACTTTTTCTAACTAAACTTGATTTGTGTCTCTTGACAAATTAATATGTTTCATGGCTGAAAATCCTCTTCCAGCCGTTAACAGTCCATGAACGGTATTTTTTGGCCCCTGCGAAATATTTTTTCATCAGTTTTTGAAATAGAAATTAATTTTCTACGGTCTTGCTGCCTTACGGCGCCAACTTCCATAAGCCTTTTCCGTACAGATGATATACTCATTTCAACACCATAACCCAATACATTCCTTCGAACTTCTGCGGTTGTCTTTCTTCGTATTATTCTTCTACTTCTTATTGGAACTTTATTAATTTTTTGAGTAGTTTTCCGTTTGTATCCACATTTTTACTTTTGTTTTTGGAGACGATGATCTGAAATCCTAAAATGTTCTTAAAATTCGTGAAGCACTCGATTTGTCCACACCGACTGTGCAGCAGCTGTATCTCTCACAGTCATAGAAGTGTGTTTATTAAGAACAGATAATTTGTCACGCTTCATCGGAGTAATATATATCTTTGAACAAGCAAAAAAGTAATACGCATTACACTGAACGCAAAATTATAACAACCAGCTGCCCCACTGAAAGGCTCACAATGAACTATCCATACACTAAAACAAATCAGACAAATAAATTTTAGTAGATGTCAATCCTTTGCACTACTTAGAGATATAAATATAATTGGTTTGAGGTGGTTCCATTCATCAGTGGTATACTCTTACCAAATTAAACAAGAAAAAGAGAGAGATGTTTGTCCCAATTAATTTGAGCACTACAATACATATGACAGAATCGCAATATTAAGTGACAAAATAGAAAACGACTTTCCTTGCAATTTTCCATTTTCCTTTTTATGTATGGTGTTGGATTTTTATTTTTGTTTATAACTATTTATTCATTTTTTTTTCAATTTAATTATTCCAATAAAATAGTGCAGTAAAAAGAAATTAGGCCATCCCAGGAGGGATTTGAACCCTCAACCTTTGGATTAGAAGCCCAACGCGCTATCCGTTGCACAACAGGGACTCAACGAGTAACTTTCCTTTTTATATATTGCCACACGCATAATTTGCTACAAGTCCCGATAGCCGAGTTGGCAGAGCGTTGGACTGAACTTTCTCGGGTTCGAATCCCGGCCCCGGCAGATTTATCCAAAGACTGGAATTTTGTTTCCGTTTTTAATGTATTGTTTCTCTAGGTTCTAGATGAATCCAGATCATTCTTTAGAGTGCATACTGGTTATTTCTCGAATATTCCGAAGTGTATAAAAGCAGAGTTCATCGCCAGTTGGGCATGTTCTCAGTCCAGTGTTGTATCGAGCTCCAAGCGTTAGAATAAATCTAATTGTTTGTTTAATTGAACTGTGTACTTCTTTCGAACTCCGTGACAATATTGTGTTGGTCTGTTATTTTTGTTGCTATTTACTCATTAATTGAATAGAATTAATGAATTCATATTTGAAAAACTATGAACATTAAGTGTCATCCACTGCAAGTTTAAAAAAATGTGTTTGAATTTGAGTGAATGAATAAAAAGCATTTTATTAACGATTGAAAATTTGAACAAGACACACACACACACACACATATAGGGAGATACTGAACTATAATAGTAGAAATTGAATGGATAATTGTATATATAGACAGAAAGTGAAATATTAATGTAAAGAATTGAATAATAACACTAACTTTCACTAAATTTTCATGAATAATAAATTGTGTTTTATTTCTTTAAGATAAAGTAACATGATTTTATATTTTTCCCAATTACTTTCTTATACGATTTAATAAATGCACTATTTGATGTTATTGACTATTATGACAAGTTCTTTTTATATTGCTATTTTAAAAAAATATATAAATAATATGAAAACTGATAGTTTGACTTAAGAAGGATTTTCATTAATTTTATTAAAAAATGTTTTCATGAAAATTTTCTAAAATTGTATTAACTTATTAGAAATTCAAACTTTACTTTATATTGAACAAAATCTTAACAATAAATAAGAATACACTGCAGTAATTGACATTGTATGGTACTCTTTATTTGGGTTCAATACATATTCAATTCTTTCGTTTTTGTTATTCTCGTATAACTAGCTTTTTAAAGTTTCTATTAAAAATATACCGAATTCAAATGTTAACGTTTTTCGCATAATTTGTAAGAATTTTGCATTTTAAATCAAAATGTTGTTTTTGATGCCACCTGATTGACGGTGTCAAATCGAGGCCTACGAAGTTCATTGTATCAAAGGGCTAACTTTTTACGCCTGTCGTTTTCCGCATTCTTCAGCACCATACATGTTACATTACGATTTGGCTCGGTTTCCTACCTTCAATTTTGAGAGCGAACATCCTGTGGAGGTTGTGAGGGTTCTCCCACCTGTCTTCCACCACCTCTTGAGAGGATTTGTGGCTAAAAGAATATTTCGTGTGCCTCAGTGCCATTCAGCATCCGTGACTTCTCCGGGACTCGAACAGTTCAGCAGTTAGAGTCACAAGTCACTATACTGGTACTGTATGATCCGCTTAGATCTGTATGTAAAACACTTGATTAATATACTTAAAATACTATGTTAAATATAATTACGAAAATGATATTTCACTATCATTGCATCATTAACAAGCATTTTAATAAAATTGACTCTCAAAAATGTAATATTGATTAACCACTATTGAAAAATTTGTTTTATAGGGGTTGCCCAAATGAAAAGTGGGTACGTGCGATTTCGTCAGAATGATTGCAGCTATAGCAAGGCCACCGAACATGGATATAAAGGGAGGAGGTGTATACCGCATACGATGTGCAATAATGAAACCTGTTCGTGGTAGAGTTAATAGATCAAAAGTAAAGTCGGGCTATTAATGGATGTGTCCAAATAGGAACAATGTGTGTTAGAATGTTTTCTGATTGCAGAAGATAAGCTGGATGAGAGCAACTATCAGCGAATGGGACAGTCTATGGCGAACACTGCTTCGAATAATAGAAGCAAAGTTTTCGTAAAGGGTGGCAAGTGATATCAGAACTTCATGGCCATGCCCAAATGTCTCTTGTGAAACCCAGACAACTTAAAAAATCTTCGTTGAAAAGTGTTGGAACATCCAATGAACAATCCGAATTTATCTCCTTAAAACCTCCCGCACTTTTTCTTCCTAATGGATTCCACTACCTTAAAAGCATGATTTTTTTAAAAAAATTGACAAAACTTTTGTATGGTTTATTTTATATGCCATCTTATTAGTTTAATAAAAATACCAAGGGTATTATTTTCCATTTACTAGAACAAAAACTACAAGTGTTTTAGTAAAAGCAGATGCCCTAATTTTACATAAGATGCCAAACTTTAAAATGTGTTTTACTAGAAATGTGTTTTTTTAAAAGCTCAAACGGGGAAGGTGATTGCTCAAAAAGTTTTTCAAATAATTTGCTGAAATTTTGTGTGTATGTTCTGTATAACAGTAGAAGTGTTTTGAAATTCAGATTTATCAATCACTGTTTTATTACAAAATGTACAGTTCTTTTTCTGAATATAATCACTGTTTTTTTAAAGCAATTTCATATAATGACTAAGATAAAGTGCTGTAGTTTTTGTAAAAATAAAAGTATCTCTTATGCTGAAAGTCATTTCAAAAAGGAATAGCAAAGTACATCAAGATTGAAAAATTGAGATTTTGTTCATTTACTATTTCTACAGAGCGGGCCCCATTTCTTTAATTTTTTGTCAATTTTTACCCACATTTTCCCATTTTAGTAATAATAATTTATTTTTCTATTTTTAATTTTAGCCTTTTTTTTTCTTAAAGTGGGATAAATAAATCTAAAACCAACAAAAAATCTCCCATATCTACATCTTTTTTTAAAGAAAAAGTTGTCGCAAGTAGTCGGAAACTTTAAGATATGTGACTACCCAAAATTCGCCGTTTTGGTGAAAACGTGCGAAATACCTTTCATGATTTTATTTCATAGCCCATACATTTAAGATTACAAAAACTCTTTGTTTCTACGATATTTTGAAGCAATGTTATAGTATGATTACTAAATCGGAAATGGAGTTTACAAAACTGGAAGTAGATCCTTACACAAAATATTTTTATGATATTGAATTGAAATTTTCAAAACATGTTTTATTTAGTTCTATCTGCGTTATGAATCAAAATTTAATCTCTATGTATATATTTATGTACTTAATCGCTTTTTTATGAAAAAAAATCATTAATTTTTTTAAAAAATCGTGTTTCTGCATAAAATTTGGCATATTTAAAAAACTTTCAGAAGTATTAGAATATTTTAATTTATAACACATATAAAGATGTTATACAAGTACTGTATAAATATTATTTGAATGCATTTATTAGAATTTTGTGTAACGGCAATTTGTCATCAAAATTTTACTGAAAACAACAAATGTTATAGTCTGTAAAACTCTCCAGAAAACAACAAAAGTTTAAAAAAGTCCGAATTAGTTAAACATGAAGATAAAGAAGTATTGATCTATAAATATGGTAAGTTTAAAAAATGTAGAGAATTAGTAGAAAAATTTTTACACTCTAATAAAATCTTTAAATGCATTTTCCGAGAAACTATGTTTTTCAATTTTTTGCTTCACGGTATAGTTCACAAGAATTCTTTTTAAAAGATATTGAATTCAAATTTTCAGAAAATGTTTTATTTAGTTATTTCTCTAGTATAGACTATAGTATAATCTCTGTGTATATATTTATGTATTTTATTGCACTTTTTGTGAGAAAATAACATTAGTTTTTTGTAAAAATGACATATTTGTTTTCTTGCATAAAAAATGGCAAATTTCAAAGACTTTTAGAAGTATTACAAATCTTATAGCTCTAAGTACAGATAATGATGTTGTTATTACCTCTATCGATGTTATTGTTATTGAACTGTATAAATATTATTCGAATATATTAATTAGAATTTTCAATACAAGGTTTACCTCGAGAATCAACCACGAACTTTTTTACAGCGAAGTCATAAACGTACTGTTGAAAAGATGGTATATGTGTGTTATAAACCCCATTGTGATTTATTTATTTCGAATGAAGGTATTCTTTTTATGCGACTTGTCTACTTTTCCTTTGGACAACCCTTATAATCAATACTGGAAATTAAACATCGTATAGTTTTAAAGGTCGCCAATCTTGTCAGATCTTCAACAATTTGTTGTTATTCAATAGTTTAATTTCCGCGATGTATAATTTATGCGATAGCTGATTGAAATCCTGAATTTGATAAGTGGCAGAGTGCAATTTGGATGAAAACGATGTGAGTAATAATCTGACTATTAGGAACGACAGTGGCTTTAGCTATCATTATAAGGTGGGGACCTGAATGGTTGTCTTTCTCCCAAAAGCTTCACCGCAATTCATTATCCGTAATTGAAGATACATTTCCATATTTGGACTAGATTCAATGTTGTACTGGAGTACTCGAAATATTAAGATGTCAGGTAAGAAGGGTTTGTGAAAAAATATAATGTATATTTTTTAATTCATATGAAATATAAACATGCTTCACTCATTAAGATGATAATTTATTTAAATGAATTTTATTATGGTTTGATTCTGAATTTGTCTGAAAATATGTAAGATGAAACATAATTCTGCAATTCCTTTCAAAAGAGAGAAAATCTTTCAATAGGTAAATTAATAATATAAAAAATGTGTTTTGGTAAAATTTGTTGCAGATTTTTATAAGCTATTTACTTTTTCGGAAGCTATAAGAAAATGCACAATGCCAGATGTGTATGTGGCTAGGGAAAATTGCACTAAATATTGATTGCTCCAAATGTTTAACACTTACAGGAATTTTTTTCTATTGTTTGTATTTTATATTTTACAATATATATATATATATATATATATAATTATATCATATACTATATATTATAAATATATATAATTATATATATAATTATAATATAGAATTATATTATATAATATATATTATACTTATATATATAAATTTGTAATCTGTTATATATAAAAATGCAGTTATGCACACACACACAC